CTCCGGCCACTGGGGCCATTTGGCGAGTGAACCAGCAGATGGAGGACCTCTCTCTCTGTCTCTCTAACTCTGCCTCTCAAATAAGTAAAAAAATCTTAAAAAAAAAAAAAAAAGAAAAAGAAGAAGAGGGCACCTGTGTCCCCTGTCAGTAACCAGGGTTGGTCCGGCTCTGGGAGGCAGTGGTAGTGCTGACTCCGGTAATTCAGTCGCTGCCGCCGGCCAGGGGGCCTGGACTGGGTTCCCTGCTGCTGCCGGCATTTGGGGAGTGAGCCCGCGGGTGAGCGCTCTGTCACTCTTGTTTCTTTCTGCCTCTCAAATACATAAACAAAGTAGTCCCTGTTTTAAAGAAATATTTATTTACTTATTTGGAGGATGGTTACAGAGGGAGAGGTCTTCCATCCACTGGTTCACTCCCCAATGGCTGCAGTGGCCGGAGCTGAGTCGCTCCAAAGCCAGGAGCCAGGAGCTTCCTCCAGGTCTCCCTTGGAGGGGAGCCCCAGCACTTGAGCCACCATCTGCTTTCCCAGGCGCATTAGCAGGGGCTGGACTGGAAGTGCAGCAGCCGGGACTTGAACTGGTACCCACATGGCACCCGCTGCACCACAGCACCAGCCCCGGTTTGTTAAGGTTTTTAAAGAATTGTGTATAGCATGTCGCTTGGACGGCTAAGCCAGGAGTTGGTGACCTGCAGGCCTGTGGGCCAAATCCCACTACGACCTGAGTTCCACTGTCTGTCCTGTAGAAGAGAAGTTTGCTGGACTCCCCCCCCCCCCCCCCCCCCCGTTTGGTCTGAATGGGGATCGCGGAGCCCAGCCGAGGGAAGTGGGCGGGACGTGTGGGCAGTGGGTACAATGTTTCCCCCAGTGGATTCTTCGTGGGCTGTGGTCAGCGTGTGAAGTCATCCATGTAAAAACAGCCATAAGAAGTAACTGTCATCGTTAGACTCACACAGGGGCGCGTGTGACTAAGTGCCGAGAGACTAACCCCAGAATCTGCTGTAGTGGCTGGTTCCTGTCGGTGCCGGGAAGCCCTGCGCGCTCCTGGGGTCCACCGAGGCCCCGAGGCTGCTGGGAAAGCCCAGAGGGCTCCTTGGGGCTGGCCCAGGGCTGGGTGTGAGTGGTTGATGGAGGGGAGGCCTGGGCCGGTGGTCATTGTCCTCAGACCTGGGGGATGGGGAGGGAGAGTTGGAGGAGGGCCTCCCTCTGCTTCTTGGGGCTTCTTTCTCTAGAATGCATCCCCGCTGCTGCTTGCCCCGAGGTCCGTGTGTCTTCTGCCCGCGGGTTTTAAGGAGGAGATTGAGTCCGCCCGACTGCTCCTGTGCGGGGTCCCTGCGAGCGTTCGCCCACGGGGGGACCTTCTGGCCAGCGTGCTGGGGGGTGCTTCTCTTCCAGCTTCAGTCTAGTGTGCCCTGAGAATGGAGTCTGCAACTGTTTTAAATGAAAAACCACTCCCCTTTTATGTCTGTCCTCAAAAATCCTGTCTCTTTAAAGCTGTCTGAGAGGCAGAGAGAGAGAATCTCTCTCTGCTGGTCCACTGCTCAGGTGGTCTCCGTGGCCAGAGCTGGGCCAGGCTGACGCCGGGATCCGAACACGTGGGTGGTGAGGTCCAATTGCTTGAATCGGCACCTGCCCCTCTGCCTTTCAAGTAAACAAAAAAATTTTTTTTTAAGAAAGGATATGGGGTACCTAGAACTCCTTGTGGAATTTTCTTAGACAAGGAGAATTCAAAAAGTTTGTGGGAAGTGGAGTTAGAAGATAGGCTTGTTAGGTGAGGAACTGTGAAAGCGATGCCTGGTGTTTTGCTAGAACACATTCCCGTGAGCTTTCAGAAGGCAGGTGATGGCTGAAGTGGTCGGGTTCCTGCCAGCGACACGGGAGGCCTGGGTTGTGCTCCTGGCCCGGCCCGGCCCAACCCTGGAGTGAACCAGCAGGTGGGCAGGTCTTTTTCTTCCTCTCTGCCTTTCAAATCAAATACATTTTTAAAATTAAGATAAAATGTGGCCTTCAGATACCCTGAGATTTTTCTGAAGGTCTAACACCGTTTCTGAGGCGACCGCAGGCTGTGTGCTCGGCGGACGAGGGTGTGGGACGTCCCTGCCTCAGCACGCAGAGCCCCGTCTGCAGGGGCAGGGGATGGGCTTTTGTGTTGATTGACATTAGAGATTGTCACAGGAAGCAGTTGGCGTGGGTGTCGTGTGCGTCTCCACGGGGTAACTAAAGAAAGGGGGTGGAGCTCCCTGCTGTGGCCTGGGAGAGCAGTGGAAGATGCCCAAGTCCTTGGACCCCTGCACCTGCGTGGGAGACCCGGAAGAAGCTCCTGGCTTCGGATCAGCGCAGCTCCGGCTGTAGCAGCCGTCTGGAGAGTGAACTAGTGGATGGAAGACTTCTCTCTCTGCCTCTCTCTGTAACTCTGTCTCGCAAATAAATAAAAATAAATCTTAAAAAACCAAAGAAAGGATGTGGGGAGGACGGTTCTGTGGTGTAGCTGGACAAGCTGCCGTCGGGACGCTGGCATCCCAGATGGGCGCCAGTTCCAGTCCCGGCTGCTCACTTCCAGTCCAGCTCTCTGCTGTGGCCCGGGAAGGCAGCTGAAGGTGGCCCAAGTGCTTGGGCCCCTGCACCCACGTGGGAAACCCAGAAGAAGCTCCTGGCATCAGCCTGGCCCAGCCCTGGCCATTGTGGCCATTCGTGGGGTGAACCTGCGGATGGAAGACCTCTCTCTCTCTCTCTTTCTCTCTGTGTGTAACTCTGCCTTTCAAATAAACAATTTTTTTTTTTTTAAAGGATATGGGGTACATAGAACTCCTAGTGTACCGAAGAGGAAAGGCGGAACAAAGAACAATACAGTCATTTCCACAAAGGGAGTTCAGGAAAAAGAAAAAACGAGAGCAGCTGGCCACAGTTAACGCAGGGTTACCTCTCCCGGGCGGGGAAATGCGGACTCAGTAGAGAACGACACCCAGCTGAGTGCTGCACGTGAGCGGCACGTCTGGAGTTTGCTTGTGTAGGTGGGGGAGACGGGGCGGGCAGAGCACGAGGGCGTGCATCGCCCAGACAGCCCGAGGTGAAGCAGAGGGCAGGACAGGCAGCCGTGCCAGTTCACTTCCTAAGTGCCGCGTGGCCTGGCCCAGGTCTCTGAGAGGCGGACCCTCACCTGCTGCCGCCCAGGGTCCCCACTAGCCAGAAGCTGGCACTGGGAGCGGAGCTGGGCTCAAACCTGGTTGCTCTGATGTTGGATGCTGGCATCCAAACTGGGGTCTTAACGGCCTGGCTGAGCAGCCTGCTGCAGGCGGGTGCAGAGCTGGGCCTGGGTCTCCCGTTTGTGTGGCAGGAGTCCGAGCCCTGGGCCATCCTCTGCTGCCTTCCCAGGAACGGGGGCTGGGTCAACAGCAGAGCAGCTGGCGCTTGACCTGGCGCTGCGACGTGGAGTCCACCTGCCGCACCGTGCCGGCCCCCGTCCACAAACTGACTGAAGCCCCCTGTGTGTTGGCTGTGCAGGAAACGCCAAGTTTCCAAAAGTAGATCCCTTAGGCCAGAATCACCGACCACAGTGGTTCAGCCGTGGAAGAACCTCAGGGTGAAGGGGGGCACCTTGAAGTTTTGTGCTGGTGCCTGGAATTCTTAAGCCCCTGCTGTATACCTCTGGGAGCAGACCGATCAGCAGCTGTATACCTCTAGGGTCAGACAGATCAGCAGCTGTTCCAGCTGTGGAGGTGAAAGACAGCGGGAGAGGTGCGGGCGGCTCTGACCCGAGGCAGACAGCGCGTGGTCTCAGGTACACCTGCTGGGGAACAAGAAAAGTTAGGAGACTAGAAAAACAATCAATCTGAAGAAGACAGAGCCGGGTGTGATTTTCATTCTGGTAATTCTGGTTAAGAAGGAACGAAAGTAGGATTTCTAAAAATTTTTTGGAGAGGGAGAGACACAGGAAGACGGATGGGGCCTCTCTCTCCCCCAGTGTGGCTGCGGTGAGACTGGGAGCCAGACCTTCAATCCAGTTCTCTGACGGGTGGCAGGGACCCAGCTGTTGGGCTGTGTGGTCGCTGCCTCCTGGGTGCAGGCTGGCAGTGAACTGCTGGCGTGCAGAGCCGGGTATCGGACACCAGAAAGTGGGCTCTGGACGCCTCAGCAGCTGGGCTGAAGTCCACCCGGAGAAGAAAATGCATCTGAAAAGCTGTGTGACTCCACGTGCGAAGATTCTGCAGTGGGGTGGCGATGCGTTGGAGGGGCTCCAAGTGGGAGACACGAGTGGCCAGAAGTGGCCTTTGAGGTGGGAGTCCTGTGCCTTAGTCCAGAAACTAGACAGAAGTGGGGTGGTGATGAAAGGCTGTCCTTGCGAAGGCCCCAGCCCCGCGTGGGTGAGTCAGTGGGTCAGTGAGCTCCTGCTATGGACCAGATGCCGTGGGCGTGGCTCCCGGGCCAGCAGCGAGCGAGAACCAGGGGCTCCCACCTGCTGGGAGTGGGCGGAGGACACCCTCAGAGACCGCGCAGTCAGTGGACAGCAGGTGAGGACTGCAGACGTCCGCTGAGAGGGGCAAGGTGACAATGGGCACTGTGGGTGCAGCAGTGGGGGTGGGGCCCTGGGAGGGCAGAGAGGACCACACCCATCATGGCCAGCGGCACTGGCTGTGTGGAGAGCAGGGTCTGTGCCTGGACCCGCAGGGCTTGAGCGGGCTCGTCCCGGTCAGATTGAGGTTTCTAGAAGCTCTCTAGACAGGGAAACCTGCCGTGTCCGCAGCACAGCGCTGTCAGGTAGCCCGTGGTCAGTCTGCACAGCGCGTGTGCTGCTGCTTTGCGGGGAGAGCAGGCCATGTCCAGCGTGCTGTGGCCGGGGCACATGGCTCAGGCCGGTCTGCTGGGTGGGGCCTGCTGTCTGAGGGAGGCTTGGGACCAGCGCCGCGGTGATCCAGGCTGCCCGCTGGGACACCCACATCCCACTTCAGAGTCCTGGTCCGGCTTCCTGGAAGCACAAGCCGAGAGGCGTGGACGATGGCTCGAGTGCTTGGGCTGCGCCACGGCTGGGGTTGCAGACCCCGGGCTCCAGCCGCCCGGCCCAGGCTGTGCGGGGTGTTCGGGGAGTGAGCCAGTGGGTAGAAGATCTCCATCTCTCACTGTTGCTGTTCCTTTCAAGTAGATAAAAATAAGCATTGAAAAATAAATCTTTAAAAAGGAAGGAAAACCCAAACCTATGGAGGAGGGGGCGGGGCCGGTTCATACCTTCTGGGGACAAAAGCTTTGTTTTCTTTCTACTCTAACAAAACCCAAATTACAGGAAAGGCACCCAGGTTAACTGACCGGAAGTTATGCTGAGGCACTGTGCCTGGGGCCTGTGTGGTCAGCGTCCTCGCTGTCCCTTCTGAGAGACGGGGCCTGCGTGGTCGGCGTCCTCGCTGTCCCTTCTGAGAGACGGGGCCTGCGTGGTCAGCGTCCTCGCTGTCCCTTCTGAGAGACGGGGCCTGCGTGGTCGGCGTCCTCGCTGTCCCTTCTGAGAGACGGGGCCTGCGTGGTCGGCGTCCTCGCTGTCCTTCTGAGAGACGGGGCCTGCGTGGTCGGCGTCCTCGCTGTCCTTCTGAGAGACGGGGCCTGCGTGGTCGGCGTCCTCACTGTCCTTCTGAGAGACGGGGCCTGCGTGGTCGGCGTCCTCGCTGTCCTTCTGAGAGACGGGGCCTGCGTGGTCGGCGTCCTCGCTGTCCCTTCTGAGAGACGGGGCCTGCGTGGTCGGCGTCCTCGCTGTCCTTCTGAGAGACGGGGCCTGCGTGGTCGGCATCCTCGCTGTCCCTTTTGTGAGACGGGGCCTGCGTGGTCGGCGTCCTCACTGTCCTTCTGAGAGACGGGGGTAGCATGTCTTGAACCCCCATTAAACCATACAGATGATGTCATGTAGTGTTTTTTTGTTGTTGTTGTTTTTTTTTTTTTTGGACAGGCAGAGTGGATAGTGAGAGAGAGAGAGACAGAGAGAAAGGTCTTCCTTTGCCGTTGGTTCACCCTCCAATGGCCGCCATGGCTGGCGCGCTGCGGCCGGTGCACGGCACTGATCCGAAGGCAGGAGCCAGGTGCTTCTCCTGGTCTCCCATGGGGTGCAGGGCCCAAGCACTTGGGCCATCCTCCACTGCACTCCCTGGCCACAGCAGAGAGCTGGCCTGGAAGAGGGGCAACCGGGACAGAATCCGGCACCCCGACCGGGACTAGAACCCGGTGTGCCGGCACCGCGAGGTCGAGGATTAGCCTAGTGAGCCGCGGCACCAGCTGTCATGTAGTTTTAAATTTAAATCTAAATGGAGAAAAGTCGTCTCATAATAGAAAGCAAACTGAGCTGAAGGAACCTAATCAGAAATAGAGTTGGCTTAGACAGAGAGGAGATGCTTGAAATGACTTCAGAACAAATTGGATTGTACATTCTGGTTGGATAAATCCTAAAATCAAGGGACCTACAAAAATACTGCAGTTTTTAGCACTTATATTGTTAGTAATAATGGTTTTTATTCTTTATAAAAATTTCTTTGAAAGGCAGAGTTAGATAGGAAGAGACAGAGACAGAAAGAGACAGGTACCATCCCCTGGTTCACTCCCTAAACGGCCGCAACAGCAGGGCAGGGCCATCTTGGAGCCAGAAAACTGCGTCCAGGTCCCCGCTTGAGTTGTGAGGACCCAAGCACCAGGGCCAACCTCTGCCTTCCTGGGCTCCTCCGTGGGGAGAAGGGGAAGAAGTGGAGCGGCTGGGATGTGAACCAGCGCTCCTGTGGGATGTCTCAGCGAGGGCGTGGCCAGCTGTGCCACTTCGGCAGTCTGTGTGCCTTCGGTACTTTTTTAATTTTTAAAAATTTATTTATGGTCGGCGCCGCAGCTCACTAGGCTAATCCTCCACCTTGCGGCGCCGGCACATCGGGTTCTAGTCCCGGTCAGGGCGCCGGATTCTGCCCCGGTTGCCCCTCTTCCAGGCCAGCTCTCTGCTGTGGCCAGGGAGTGCAGTGGAGGATGGCCCAAGTGCTTGGGCCCTGCACCCCATGGGAGACCAGGAGAAGCACCTGGCTCCTGCCTTTGGATCAGCACGGTGCGCCGGCCACAGTGCGCCAGCCGTGGCAGCCATTGGAGGGTGAACCAACGGCAAAAGGAAGACCTTTCTCTCTCTCTCTCTCTCTCTCACTGTTCACTCTGCCTGTCAAAAAAAAAAAAAAAAAGTTTATTTATTTACTTGAAAGTCAGAGTTACACAGAAGGAGAGGCAGAGAGAGAGAGGGAGGTCTTCCATCCGCTGGTTCACTCCCCAGATGACTCCAACGGCAGGAGCTGAGCTGATCCGAAGCCAGGAGCTTCTTCCAGGTCTCCCACGTGGGTGCAGGGACCCAAGCACTTGGGCATCTTCCGCTGCTTTCCCAGGCCACAGCAGAGAGCTGGATCGGAAGAGGAGATGCCAGGACTCGAACCAGCGCCCACATGAGATGCCATTACTGCAGGCGGCAGCCCTACCTGCTATGCCACAGCGCTGGCCCCAATGCTTTTTATATATCATACAATAAAGAGGTCAGTAAGTTACTGTCTTAGGAAACGTGATTTCCAGGATAAGAGAAAACATGTACAAGTGGAAAATAGAGGGGCTGGCGCTGTGGCACAGCAGGGTAGAGACCTGGCCTGCAGAGCTGGTACCCCATACAGGGCTCCAGGTGCTGGTTTGAGTCCTGGCTGCTCCATTTCCAATCTAAATCTCTGCTGTGGCCTGGGGAAGCAGTGGAAGATGGCCCAAGTGCTTGGGCCCCTGCACCCACGTGGAGACCTGGAAGAAGCTCCTGGCTCCTGGCTTTGGATCAGCTCAGCTCTGGCCGTTGTGGTTATTTGGGGAGTGAACCAGCAGATGGAAGACCTCTCTTGCTCTCTGTTTCTGCCTCTCTCTGTAACTCTGTCTTTCAAATAAATAAAATAATCTTTAAAAAAAAATACAAAATTCGGGGCTGGCACTGTGGTGTAGTGGGTAAAGCCACTGCTTGCAGTGCCGTTACCGCACATGGGCGCCGGTTTGAGTCCCAGCTGCTCCACTTCCAGTCCAGCTCTCTGCTGTGGCCTGGGAAAGCAGCGGAAGATGGCCCAAGTCCTTGGGCCCTGCACCCACGTGGGAGACCTGGAGGAAGCCTCTGGCTCCTGGCTTCAGATTAGCGCAGCTCCAGCCATTGCGGCCAGTTGGGGAGTGAACCAGCGGATGGAAGACTTTTCTCCCTCTCTCTCCCTCTCTTCCTCCCCCTCCCCTTCTGTCTGTGTGTGTAACTCTGACTTTCAAATAAATAAATAAAAATTTTTAAAAACTACAAAATTGAAACAGTTAAGGGGTAGGTGTTAGAGTGCATCGGGTCCCCACCTCCGCTTCCCATCCAGCTTCCTGCGGATGCTCCCGGGAGGTAGCAGATGATGGACCAAGGACTTGGGTTCTTGCCACCCCGTGGGAGACCGGGTGGAGTTCCTGGCTTCCGGCTGTGGCATGGCCTGGTCCCAGCTGTTGCAGACATTTGAGGAGCAAACCAGCAGATGGACGATGTCTCTCTTCCTCTGTCACCCTGCCTTTCAAATAAATAAATAAATAAGTCTCTTTTTTTAAAAAAACAATTAAGTAAACTCCCTATAACCTCATGTTTGAATTGGAGATATCAGTATTAATTTGTTTTAAAATAATTTTTAGGAGAATGCATTTCCCAGTGCTTTACTAGAAGGGTCTAGAAACAGCCAGTGAGTAGCAGTGAGCAGACCTCACCGAGCTGTGGGCTGTGAGCACCGTCCCAGCGTGAGGAATCGGCTGCTTGGATGAATGGCAGAGTGCAGTTTAGCTCAGCAAATAGACAAAGTGGGGCGCGGTGGGCTAATGCCCTGGCCTGCAGTCTGCATCCCACATGGGCGCCAGTTTGAGACCCGGCTGCTCCACTTCCAGTCCAGCTCTCTGCTGTGGCCTGGGAGAGCAGTAGAAGATGCCCAAGTCCTTGGGCCCTGCACCCACGTGGGAGACCTGGAGGAAGCCTCTGGCTCCTGGCTTGGGATCGTTGCAGCTCTGACCATTGCGGCCAATTGGGGAGTGAACCAGCGGATGGAAGACCTCTCTCTCTCTCTGTAACTCTCTCTCTGTAACTCTTTCAAATAAATAAATAAATCTTTTTTTTTTTTTTTAAAGAAGACAAAGTGAGTCTAGACCACCTGATTCTGCCTGAGAGCAAGAATTACTTGTTTGTTTTATGGACAATTTTTTTGAGTTATTTATTTATTATTTGAAAGAATTACAGAGAGGCAGAGAGTGAGGTCTTCCATGCGCTGGTTCACTCCCCAAATGGCTGCAACGGCCGGAGCTGCACTGATCCGGAGCCAGAAGCTTCCTCCGGGTCTCCCATGTGGGTGCAGGGCCCAAGGACCTAGCCATCGTCCACTGCTTTCCCAGGCACAGCAGAGAGCTGGATTGGAAGAGGAGCAGTCGGGACTCGAACCGGCGCCCGTATGGGAGCCGGTGCCGCAGGGGGTTTCTTTACCTGCTGATGCCTCAGGGCTGGCCCTGGTTTTGTTTTTTGTTTATTTTTAAGTTTTTAAATAACATTTGTTGTATTCACTTGAAAGGCAGAGAGAAATCTCCCATCACTAGTTCACTCCCCAAAAGCCTGTAACAGCCAGGGTGGGGCCAGGCTGAAGGCAGGAACTGAGTCCAGGTCTCCTATGCGGGCGACAGGGACCCAAGTACCTAAACCATCATTTGTTGCCTCCCAGGACCCAGGACAGCAAGAGACTGAGTGGAACTGGCTGTTGGAGCCAGCCCCCCAGGGGGATGCTGGTGTCCTGCCCTTATTTTAATCACTAGGCTCAGCCCCCCCCCCCCAAATAAATTTCTATTCTTAATAAACTACTCTGCCTGGGGCTGGGGCTGCCAGGTGCTTGGCATCCAGTGAGGGCCTCGCTGCAGGGGCGGCAGGTGTGCCGGTCGGGTCTGTCTGCCCCTTGGCCGCCGTGGAGCCCCAGCCCTCCTGAGGTCATGTCCTGATCACCTCCCAAAGACCCACCTCAGAATGCCACCAGTGGGGTTGAGTGTCCAGCACAGTAGCTCTGGAATACGTTCAAACCGTCGCATTCCGCCTGGAACCCACGACTCCGTGTCCCTGTCGCGCACAGAACACGTTCGTCCCACCCCGTAGCTCCAACGTCCTAAACTCCTCCCAGTGTCAGCCCAAACATGGAGTCCAGTCTCCTCTGACTCAGCCCCGGGAGGCTCGGGCGGATTCGTCACCACGCGGATTCGCTCCAGCGCGGCCTGTGCAAGCAAAACAAGTTATGTGCTTGTGCAATGCCGTGGTGGGACGGGTGTGGGGCAGACGTCCGTGTTCCGGAAGGAGAGATGAGAGAGGAGGCGCAGGCCCCCAGGAAGTCTAGAGACCTGCAGGGAACACAGCGGTCCGTGCTGTCCATGCACCGTGGGCCTGAGCAGCCCCGCCTCCCGGCTTTCTGCACCAGCATTCGCCCGCCCTCTGGGCCTCGTGGCCGCCGCTCCCCTGGTTCTGTGGGCATTGCGCTAGGCTGCACCCCAGGCCGTCTGGATCGTGCAGGAGTAAGGAGACCTAGGTGGGGGAGTGTTCATGGCCCACAGCTCCTGGGTTCTGTGGGCCTGCGTCAGCAGCACCACCTGGACACCCGAGCTTACGTGAGCCCCGGGGTGGAGTTGAGAGCCCTGCACCACAGTGAGGGGGGTCCTGGCCAGGGGGGTCCTGGGGGTGCCCGAGGGGGGTCCTGGCCAGGGTGGTCCTGGGGATGCCCCGAGGGTGGTCCTGGGGGTGCCCTGAGGGTGGTCCTGGCCAGGGGGGTCCTGGGGGTGCCCCGAGGGTGGTCATGGCCAGGGGAGTCCTGGGGGTGCCCCGAAGGTGGTCCTGGCCAGTGGGGGTCCTGAGGGTGGTCCTGTTCAGTGGGGGTCGTAGGGGGTGCCCCGAGGGTGGTCCTGGTCAGTGGGGGTCCTGGGGGTGCCCTGAGGGTGGTCCTGATCAGTGGGTGCCCCGAGGGTGGTCCTGGCCAGTGGGGGTCCTGAGGGTGGTCCTGGTCAGTGGGGGTCCTGAGGGTGGTCCTGGTCAGTGGGGGTCCTGGGGGGTGCCCTGAGTGTGGTCCTGGCCAGGGGAGTCCTGGGGGTGCCCCGAGGGTGGTCCTGGTCAGTGGGGGTCCTGGGGGTGCCCTGAGGGTGGTCCTGATCAGTGGGTGCCCCGAGGGTGGACCTGGCCAGTGGGGGTCCTGGGGGTGCCCTGAGGGTGGTCCTGGCCAGGGGCGTCCTGAGGGTGGTCCTGGCCAGTGGGTGCCCTGAGGGTGGTCCTGGTCAGTGGGGGTTCTGGGGGTGCCCTGAGGGTGGTCCTGGTCAGTGGGGGTTCTGGGGGTGCCCTGAGGGTGGTCTTGGCCAGTGGGGGTCCTGGGGGTGGTCCTGGTCAGTGGGGGTTCTGGGGGTGCCCTGAGGGTGGTCCTGGTCAGTGGGGGTCCTGGGGGTGCCCTGAGGGTGGTCCTGGCCAGTGGGTGCCCTGAGGGTGGTCCTGGTCAGTGGGGGTCCTGGGGGTGTCCTGACTTGTCCCCTGAAGCTCTCCTGGAGCTCTGGCTTAGGGAGTGGGAACAGCTGTGAAGGTCGCTGGAATGCCTGCAGGGGCCTCCGTGGCTCTGGTGGTCCTTTCTGTCCTGTGCCCTCCGCAGTGGCTCAGCCGCGCCCTGGGTTTCCTTCCCTGAAGGTACTCTGGTTCTCTCCCTACCACCAGGCTGAGAATTTTCCAGAGCTTTCTGCTGAGTTTCTCTTTTAATTACACATTCTGTGCTTAAGTCGTCTCGTTGCCCTGATTGCACTGTAACAGTTGAAAGTAGCCACGAGGGGTGGGTGTCGCGGTGCAGCAGGTTAAATGGCCGATTACGATGCTGACATCACACGGAGGTGCCAGTCTGGGTCTGGCTGCTCCACTTCTGGCCGGCTTCCTGCTACTGTGTCTGTAAGGCAGTGGAAGGTGGCCCAAGTCCTTGGGTTCCTGCGCCCACACGAAACCCTGGATGGGTTCCAGGCTCCTGGCTTGAGCCTCCCTGCCCTGGCTGCTGTGGGATTGAGGAGTGAGCCAGTGGATGGGGGTACTGTGGGCACCCCCCCAAGCTCTTGCCCTTGTGTGAGATAAGAATTCAAAGTGGAGACACAGGTAATGTGCAGTGTGAGAGCAGGAATCATTAACAGAAGGAGCACGCTCCCTAAGTATGGGCACCACGGGGAGAGGCGACCCCAGGAGAGGACCAGGGCAAGAGAAGGCCCACGCAGTAGCGGGTCCCTTTGTGGGGTGGGCGCCCTAATTAGAGATGGACCAGGGGGGACTGGAGCAGGGCTCAGCGTGCGGAGGTTTCCTGGGAGTTTCTCCACATGGAGTTTGGCTTCCGCGAGTTGGTGATGGCATCTCCTCCCCAGTCCCGGCTGAGACACAGGTGCATCATGGGAACCTGGGCGCACCCGACGGCCGTGCCCAGTGCAGGGATGCGGAGAGAAATGTGGGAGATGTCGCAGCCGTCTTCCTAAGCTCTGCCTAGTTCCCCCATAGCGTCCCTGCTTCAGCATTCTGTCTCAGTCCGTCTTCGTGTCTGCGTCACGCTGAAGGGGGAATGTCCGGGCCTGGCCAGGGGATGGGCTCTCTGACTGATCATGGTTCCGTCTCAAGAGCCGGGGGTTTGTGAATCCCTGCCAGTGGCAGGGGTCCCTGCCCGCTCATCGTGATTGAGAAGCAGTTGACCGTTAGAATGAGCGTAGTTGGGAAACGATCCAGGTCGGGATTCCTTTTCCGAGAGGGAAGCTGTCTCCTGGCGCGTCTCAGATGGTGGCAGCTTGCAGGCTGCCTGTACCAAAATCGCAGGCCGGCGTAGCTTGAATGTAAGCCCTCGTGATAACGTCTTCCCGAGCACACTGCTCCTACAGTAGATATTAGTGACGTGTCACAGCATGCCCTGCAGGGAGTGGCCTAGGGCCACTGCTTGTCTGTGGCCACCTCGGGTGGAGAGTGCGGCCTCGCGTAGTTGCGCAGCCGGGCTGTTGAAGGGGAGAGGTGCCTTAGAGCACCGGCCTGAGGCGAGGCGGTTTTCCCTCTTTGTGGTGGAAGAACTCCCCAGGGAGTTTTCTGCCCAGAGCGGCTTTCTGAGAAACCGGGAAGAAGTGGGTAAAACCGACCTGCCAGAGAGCCCAACGGCCTCACCGTAACCAAAGCAACGATTCTATTTACCCTCTGGGGTTTAAAGAGATGATGCGGTCCTCACTTGGCCCACCCATGAAGACTGGAGAGTCAGAGTTACTTTTTTTTTTTTTTTTTTAACAGTTTATTTATTTGAGCGGTAGAGCTATAGACAGGGGCAGTGACAGAGAGAGGTCTTCCATCTGCTGGTTCACTCCCCGGATGGCCGCAGTGACTGCAGCTGCACCAATCCGAAGCCAGGAGCCAGGAGCTTCCTCCGGGTCTCCCACGTGGGTGCAGGGCCCAAGCACTTGGGCATCTTCCGCTGCTTTCCCAGGCCACAGCAGAGAGCTGGATGGGGGTGGAGCAGCCGGGTCTCGAACCGGCGCCCATGTGGGATGTCCGCGCTGCAGGCGGAGGCCCCGGAAGCTGGAGTCCTGGCAGGCGCCCCAGTGGGCCTGCCTGTGCTGTAACTGCAGCGGGAGCCGAGCGGCACTGATAGGCCGGCCTGCTGGGTGACACTGGTCGGAGGAGAGGCTGCTTTTCAGAGCCGTGTCCGGGAGAGTGGCTGTGGATTTTGGAATCAGCGGCGCGGGAGTCTGGTGCCGTAGTCTGTCAGGGCCTTTTGTACCCGACCCTCATGGACGGTTTGCTTTCTCTGGCCCTGGCGTCTGACTCAGGGAGCGTCAGCGTGAAGGGTCTCCCGAGGATGCCTGCCCTTGGCACCGCCCTCATCCTCAGGAGAGCGGCAGGCGGGAGCCTACGCCGCAGTTGCCTCGTGGCGGAGCCCGGCCCCAGCCCTCCCAAGACCTGCCGGGCCCCTGTGGCTTTCCCTGAAGGCTGAGGTCTCCCAGCGGCGTGGCGCTGGCGGGAGAGTCGGGGTCAGCTTGCAGACGGGAAAGAGCCCAGTCCGCTGTCACTCTGGGTGAGCCTACAGATGCAGAAATATTTCCCTTAGCAGGGCTTCCGACACTCCTTGGGCCTTTTGGGGGGACTTGGAAAAGACTGTCCATCTCGTGAAAGTGTCGGAAGACCACCAGGTACCTGACCTTCCACGTGCAGCTGCTGCTGGCGGCACTGAGGGGTGGCCTGGTGTGACCGCAGCAGAAGGGCCAGGGCGGGTCACCTCCCTCCCCGCAGTCATGCGGGCCTTTCCCCCAAGCCCTGAGGAGAGGCCCCCGGGAGCGTGACCCTGTGCCCTGGGGTCCGCCGCTGGCCTCGTCCTGAGCCCTGTCTCAGGCTGGCGGGGAGAGTTCTGGTCGCCCCCCAGGCTGAGGTTTGAGCGCCTTGCCTGCTGCCCTGTCTGGTGCTGCCCCCTGAGGTGTCCCTGAGTGGACAGCAGCCACTTCAGAGGCTCTTGAAGCTGCCCCGAGAAAGCTGAAGCCTTTTTGCCATGCCTCAGGGCGGGGTGCTTGGCAGATGGCCTCCCTGCGTGCAGCGCAGGGAGGCAGAGCTGGAGCCCGCCTTTGCCTCCGTGGCCCTCTCCTGACCGCCACGTCCCTGAGGGAGCAAGCCGAGCCTTTGGGCCGCAGTGTTGGCGGCCCAGCTCTCACCTGAGGGTCACCCTGCGCGTGGCCTGCCTTCCCGGCTCCTTCCTTCATGAACCTGCCACCGTCAGCGAACCCCTCAGCACCGGGTTTCCCAGGGCTCACCTCCCAGCTCAGGCCTGCTCCGTGTCTGCACACAGGAGCCAGCTGGCCTCCAGTGGGTCCTGACGGCGGGTGAGTCGCTGGACTGAGGACCTGGCCTGCTCAGAGCTCCTGGGAGTCTGAGGAGCCCTGTACGTAGCAGGCGTCCTCCTGTTCGCCACGGTGGTCTCTGATCTCCAGAACTCCTGTGCCTGGCGTGGAGTTTGACCTCAGGTGGCTGAAAGGCAAGTTCATGGTTTCTTCCCCCAAACGCTGTAGCAGTGACGGCTCCTAAGCCTGCAGGCCGTCCTGTGGCCGCTGGCTGCCAAGGTGGATCCAGTCTCTGGGTGAAGTGCTCAGAGCTGTTGCTGCGTCTCTGCTGCAGGCAGAGTGGACGGGTTGTCTCAGGGACTCTGGGGCTGGCAGGGCGGCGCCGCGGGAGCTGCTGCCTGCGAGGTCAGGATCCCATGTGAGTCCCAGTCCAGCTCCGTGCTCAGCGTGCCTGG